TAGCATCATTTGCTACAACTAAATTTAATCTGGGGAGTGCAAAATAGGGGGCAGTTGCTTTTCGCTCAGGAATATTATGTTCGAAATTTTTTTTACATTTTGTCAGCCGAGACTATCAGCCGCATACATAGTCGATCGCCAGCGACTCGTCAGAGATTCATTTCGGCGTATCCCAGCGATTCGCTGGCGATCCGCCGGCGAAAGCCCAAAAAGCTGGCGACTCGCCGGAGATTGTCACCGGAATGTCATTTCACGCAAGTTTTCATGTTCTTTTATAGGGAAAAATTTGATATTCGTTCATTATTTTTTGAGTTTTAAGAAATGAATCATGAATAAAATGCGAGAGATATTGGTGATAATCCCTATAAAAGAAAATAAAAACTTGCGTGAAATGACATTCCGGTGACAATCTCCGGCGAGTCGCCAGCTTTTTGGGATTTCGCCGGCGGATCGCCAGCGAATCGCTGGCGATACGCCGAAATGAATCTCAGGCGAGTCGCTGGCGATCGACTTTGCATACGGCTGTTAGAGTCGTTACTTACAATTAGACAGAAAACCTTTCATGTTTACCATTTTCAAAATAAATTAAAAAATACTACTACATTTACTTGGTACATATTTTATTTTAATTTTGAACCCTTTTAAAAGGGTCTTTCGGTTTTATAATAAAAATTAGTCGCTGCTTACTAGAAACATTCTATACAGTCTAAACCAATTTATGAATTGTTTTCGATCAATTTAATACAAAGATTTAAAGTTTTTAGTCGATGATAACATTCCACATCAGCACATTGCAAACCTATTTTATAAATAATAAGAATAAACTTGTAAATCTTTAATTTGGTAGTTATCTCACTTATATGTTTTTTTTGTGTATATGTTCCATCGCTATCAGAAATAATAGAAGTGGCATCTCATTTAAAATAAAACGAAAATAACAGAATTGTTAGAATATTTTTAATGAAAAGATCATAACCTGCTTACTATTTTTAACAATTTTTAACAAAAAATCATTCATTGTTTTGTCAGATATCGATAATGTCTCCCCGTCGCTGTATATAAATATACAGCTCTCTATTTACATAATTATAATTCTTAGGTAGGTTTAGATTTTCAGATATAAATCTTGTAATAAATAAAACAGCTGCTTAATACATTGAATACATTTTCATTAGTCAATGTAAAAATGTCTTTTATTGTACCTAGGATTTAACTAAACACTACAAAAAACTAAAAATAAAATGCAACTTTCATCGTGTAATTAAATAATAAACTACAAACGGTCCTGTAAGGGCAGCGTCATATAGTTTTGAAACACCGGATTTTAGTGCTATTGCCAAGTCAATATTGAATTTGTAGGTGAATCGCTTGTTGAACATATTTTTGGGAATGTAATTACACATAAATATTATTAGTTGATTATTTAAATGTTCATAAGTTATTTTGTGGCGATATTTCTTAGATATAAACTGTTTAAATCATATAATTTAAAAATAAATTAATTTAAAATTCTTTTCTGTTAGGTATGTTTAATATACTTGGCAACACTACAGGGACAAGTCATGCATATTGCGCAAGCTTCTAGACACACTATTTTGCGATGTCAGGCGCAGAGACGCGTTTTTATGCACAGTAGGTTTCAATTTCTGCTTAAATTTTATATTTATATTGGTCTTCTATATTATTTCTATGGTTTCAATTCGCAATCAATATTGTTACACTGGTTTTTTGATATCACAATTTATTTCAACTGAACTTTACAATAACTCAATTCAACTTTAACAATAACAATACAACTGATAACATTAACATGTAACGTCTATCATCAAACTGAAACTCTGACGTCAGGTCGTCGACTTATATAGCTTGCTTGACCTTCTCGAACCTTCTCGAACTGTCATCTAGAATATTCTTGACGGGTAATGATATTTCTGGACATTTCCGGAATATTCTATCATCTTTTACTTGTACTTTTACTTATGATGACCGCAGCAAACTGTAGAGCGATAAGTAACATTCCACTTCTTTTTTTATCTGTACGTTTCCTATGATAGCCGCAGGCCCGGTGAATGACATTTTACAGGTGTTTCAACTCTTTTTAAAATATGGCACCAATAACAGCATAGTATGTAAAAAATCCACTAGATGTCGGTAGAAGATGAAGTACTTCAAATGAAAACAAATAATGACTGCAAACTGTCAGAAAAATTCAGTTAATTTTATCTTAATGGAGTAAAAAAAAACGTCTGTATCCAATTTTTTTTAAATAATGGTAATTTATTAATGTCTACTAATAATATTCTATATAACAAACGATATGAAAAGTGAAAATGAGAAGAAAACTACTATATCACATACCACCCATATATTTCATCAAAACAAAGTGAGAACATTACTATTTTTCATCATTTTTAGTGTACAAGACAGCAATAATTAAATAGGAAAAATAGTGTGTAATCTTTCCTACAAAATTGTAAATATTGTTAAAATGGGGTTTGAAAAAATAAGTGTTAAGTGCCATTTTGATGTTATGTTTATAGAAGAGTAGGTATAAAATTATAACTGCCACATGTTAGATAATTAATAAACACATTCCAAAGATACATGCTTATTTTGTTACCAGTCCTAAACAATTTCACATGGAGGGATCTCCTAATTGTAATAAAATGTGGTTCTTACAAGGCAAATTGATGAAAAGGGTAGGTACAAAAATGATCTGTAAACCTTAATTACCTATATGAATAAGTGTTGTAATAAACTTTTTATTAAATATAAACGCAAAAGATTGTTTTCAATAGATTCATTAACTTATACAACTTTAATTATTTACAAAATAAATCAAAGGTTTGTAGGTGTAACTACACACATATCCGCCAAGAGCATTATAAATATAAAAAAAGAACAAATTATCAATCATTCCATTCTTGTTTACATTTATAATATACGGATGATGTCTTAACAGTCGAACTGCTAATTTTAATAAAATGTACACATTTAAAAAATTGCAAATACCTTCATTCGTTTCTTTACAAAATATCTACAAAATAATATAAAAGCGTATAATAGCAATTACTATCGTCTTTATTATTTTATTTCTACTTTGTTCAATTCAACTTTTGATATATCTAAATTAAAATTTGACAGGTACATCATTCATATCTAAGATCAACAATAACTAGACTAGATAATAACTAGACCTCAACAATGATGAAAAAGCATTACTTTAAACTAACTTTAATAAATAATATTGCAAAATTATTAGAGTTTTAAATAAAATACAATTATATTTGTTCGTAAATATAGAATATGTCATGCTGCGTGAACATTTGTATAATAACCTGTCAAATGATTGACCAATCATCTGATGGCCAAATCTTGAAGTTGGATACATGTTGATGTTAAAATATACTTTATCTAGCTCTTAATGATCAATATATGATCGAATCGGGTACCTCACCTTTTAACGACCTCTGGTAATTTTTTTAGAACTACGTTGTGTTTGGTGCCACGCCCCGTAGATTTTCCTGTCTCGAAAATGTCACAGTTGGTATTGGTGAATTCTTTGACTTTTCTAGGTTCTTCAGCTGTCAGGTGGTCATAGGTATTTTGTTTATTTTTCATGGCCACCTTATCATAATTTTGAAATTTATTTGTTAATCAATGAAAACGTATGTAAATTAATGAAAAGTTTGAGTCGATTTTTCTCGAAAACTGTTGGTCATGGAGACTTCATTTCAAAATGGCGACTTTCCGAAAGACAAAAAAAACTGAATAAAAATATCCAATACCCCACCCAAACGAGCCGCTTATGACTACATTAAAAAATCTTATTTACGAAATGTTATTGGTTAGATTCAAATAAATAAATGTACAAATTTAATCAAAATCCGTTTTGAGGTTATTTCAATTAAGCCGATTTTAGAGCGCTATCTTCAAAGAGCTCTAGCTCCCTTAGGAAGCATTTTTGGATTAAGGTAATTTAGGCTAAATCTTTATAAAATTAGCTCTAGATTTCGTGGTTTCATTCTTTGAAGAACGTTTCTGGACACCCTGTATTAGTCTCGGTACAGAATTTAGGAAACCCAGTATGTATATCATTTTTGGATACACAAGTAGCATGCCTTATAATATAGCAATTCTTGATATAACTCTCAAACCAATGCTATAGAATGTTATAGAATTTTTCTATGATTGGATGAGCAATTTAAATAACTTTCGCACTATCCTACCATTAAAAAATATTTCCCAATTTCCAAACATTAAAACCAAAAACAGTAACTAAATTTAACAAAAAACGATAATTGCTGTAAAGTTGTCAATCCAAAAAACAAACTCAAAAAATTGAGATTAATAAAACTTCACAGTCCCACCATATTATATTACAATTTCTTTTGAAGAGACGGAGCACAACATTCAACAATAATTCAAGTTCACCGAGCGTTAGTAAAATTGCAATTGCAACTTTCTATCTCACTTTGTAGGTATACCTAATATGGCGATAAATTATTTTATGGACATAACCAATCAAGTAAATTTATTTCAATCAGTGAATGAAAGCGTTGAATGAATTAAAAAAAACACGAAACTATATTATACATAAGAAAATGTTGATCTCATTTAAAATATCCAATCGATTTAAAAACAATTTAATTATATATCGGCTTAAGTTCTCTACCTGGGCTATGGATCCCGCAAAATAATTTAGGTTGCTAAAGCAACATACAATATTTTCCTGTACCAGTGTTTGAAATTACCTATAATTGAATTACATATAACTAAAAAATGTTTATACAACCAAAAACTATGACGATGAAACGTACACAACAACAACCAAAAACTTCATCTAACAATATCTAAAAACCGTTTCGTTCCGCTATTGTTCCGCTGTTTCCATTTTTCTGGATATCTGGAAATTAGCGCCATCCTTTGCTAATATCGACAACCTATCGTCGTATAGCACAATTTCTGTTTAAGATAACATAATTACCTTCTCTTATCAGTCTACCTGTTATCTTAACTTAATCTTGTTGACTCACTTCTAGCTCTGAACTAGATCGTGAATAGTCGAAATTCATGCATTTAACTTTTTTGGATGTTATAATTGATTTTATGTGGAAAATTATGTTGTTACACAAAGTAATTTAACAACCACAATGAAGGGTTGGTGGTGTTTTTTGGGTATCATACCGGTGTTGGAAACTCTAACCATCTACGTTAATGAATCCAAAGAATGCCCTCATATCTGCTTCTGCTGGGATTTGATCACTAACTGTCAAAATAAAGGCCTAAGTCAACTGCCTAAAGGAATAGATCCAAAAGTAAGTTCATTTTAATCAAATTATTTCTTCCGCCCATTAAAATATGTTGTTTCAATCATAAATAAATGACACAACGTTTTATTTGAAAATGTTATTTGTTGTGGTCTACTGCAATTATTATTTAACTCAATGACACAAAACAAATTATTGACTAGGAATAGTTTTTGAAAGATCTAGTAAAATGGATATAAGATTATTTTTATAATCTTAAGTTTAATTATGGTATATGTGGTAGAATTAACTAAAATAGTTTAATAGTTTTTATTTTCTAAAAGCTACAACATTGTATTAATGACGTTTTGTTATTATATGAAGTGAATCAAAAATATGAATTGAATGTATTTTTTATCAAAATAGTAAAACCAGAGTGTAATCCGGATAATTAATTGCTTATGTTATATGATCTCCATGAGTAACCCTATAATAATTATGAAAATGTATTTGATTTAGTGTATTTTAAATTATTTACAATTATTATTATTTTTTCTTGTATTGGCAGTATCATAGGAAGTCTTACAACCACTCCTATTAACTCTTATTCCTAAATAAAATTCCAAATAAACTTCAGTAACTGCTTGTTACATTATTATACCTACGTTTGTGTTTACAATGAATACATTTTTGTGTTGATAAACCCATTTATATTAGAATAGGAACAGGATTTTATTAAGTTGAGTTCAAACTTACATATACTTGGAATATTTTAATTTAATAAATTTCAATAAAAAATGATTAATAATGCAAACATTGGATCGTGATATATTAGCATAATTAATGTACAGAAAACTTTATTTAATGAGTCATTCCCTTTTAAGTTATCTAAAATTTCAAATAAACCTATTTGATTTATATTGAAGTAATTAAAAATCAAAGGTAAATTCTAAATTCAATACAGTGAATTACAAATAACAATTAATAGTCCCCGTATAAATCAGATGATTCATGATTCACAACAGGAGTGCATTGTGTTCATGTCTTTCATGCTCATTGACGCATGTATAATTGGTCTGCAAAACAGGAAGAAAACAATATGTGACAATCATATATTTTATTCAATAATTTTGATATATTTGAGTGTTTACTATCTGAAACTAAACAAGATATTGCTAATCACCAATGATTATTATACCTATACAGGGTGTCCCAAAAACATATCGACAAACGTTAAGGGGTAAACACACTTTTTTTGTTTAATAAATATGTGTTGGCAAATGAACCGTTTGGGCTGTAGAGTCATAAAATATTTTAAATCATTCCAAATAACTATACTCTATTTTTAAACTAGGAGGAGCGAATTGAAACGACGCATTTACACAGGGAAAAGTAAATAGATTCGTTACTAAGAGCGTGTTTTAAAATATAGTGTGTTTAAAATCTATGAAATAGTTGTCATTATCGGCCTTAGTCGGCGCCGACCAATAAGGGGTTAAGAGCGAATAAATGTCATAGGAGTCGCGATTTTTTATTGGTTCCAAACAACTGCGGTAAATTTCTCTTTATTGTGATCTGAAACGTGTCTAAAACGAACTATCAAATAAAATTCAATATGGCCGTTGATTTGTTGATGTTATAGCTTATCAGAAATATTTTTTTTCTTGCTTTTGAAATCGACGTTTTAAGAATACCTATGATCTTTTTAAAATAGAAATTGAATATTTAAGAAATTGTTAACAGAATATCAAAATGCAGGTTGGTATACAATATAAAAATATGGTCTGTTTACGTTTTCATGGATATATTTGTTATAGGCACAGTTTATAGCTCACTCGGACCAATTGCATGTTCCAAAATAACATCCACTCCAGGGATACAAATTCAGGATGCGCAGAAGACTGCTGTTTGAATATAGGCGGTTGTTATATATTATATTAGGCATTCCAAACAAATGAACTGCCAGTGGGAAGATTTGATATATCCAAGGGTTGCGACATACGATGTATTCTGTTTACAATACGTAAAATCATGAATAATGGATTACATTTAAACATTTTATGTCAAACACAATAAAAATAAGATACTTTTTTCATAAATTGTCAGGATTGGTGACTATTATTTTGAATAAAAAAGCATTCAAGATGCAAGACTATATCTCTACCCCTTTAGATATACCAGACCTTCGCACTGACAGCTATTGCTTGACAAGTTGTTGGAATGCCTAATTGGTTATAGTAAGAGAGCCCACTGCAAATTACGACCACCATCTGATAACAAAATTAAATATGCTCCAAAGACATGTAACAACATTATATTTTACCAAATTGCACCTGTCCAAATCTCTAATCCTGAGCAAAGTGGTTAAAAAAAAATAATTTTATATTCAAAAAATCACATAAAACATGACAGCGATAATTATGTTTTCCCTGAAAATTACAATCATAATTCATTGTGAACCTAGCTTTTAAACCTAAATTATTAATATTTTTACCTACCTTTTGAAGAGATCGCCAATAATAAATTATAAGCTCTTGTTAGACAATTCTTTTAAACCATAATTATAGTAGTTTTTTTTTTGTAATTTCTGTGGCAACCTGTAAAAATCTGATGTGTCCAACACATGACTTTCCTATCTAGTTATTACAGGCTTTTTCCGTTTATTGTGTACAACCTATTGCAGCATCTCTATAAATGTTTAGAGGATAAACTAAATATATACATTGTCCACATACATCTACCGCAAAATATTTTTCTATAGATATTCATTGAAAATGAAAATACTGAAAAATTTAAATTTAGCACTTTTCCTATAATTTTTCTATTACGGTCCATTTAAAAAAAATCATGTATGAACAAATATTACAGAGATCGATATCGCAAACAACTTTTATTTCAACAATTTTCATAAAAATCAGAATTTTGCACATTTTGTCAAATTTCTCGAATACGGACCATTTTAGGAAATTTTTGCATAAAGCAAAAATTATAGATAATAATATTAGAAGTAACTTTTATTTGAACAATTTTTTTCTCCAAACATAAATAACAGATATATTCCATAAAATATAAAAACGGCCTCCCATAAAGTACCCCCCCAGATGTTCCGACTTTGTCCAAAATCTAATCATTTCACGTCAGGCCGAAATAAAACTTAAGTTTAAAATTTATTGATTTTTTCTTTATCCGTTTTTGAGTTTTCTTCAAATTTCGAAATTTACACATTTTCTCAAATATCTCGAATACGGTCCATTTTAGAGAAATTATCTATGGGATAAAAATTATAGAGAATTAAATTACAAACAACTTTTGTTTGAACAATTTTTATAAAAAAAAATATTTTTTTACATTTTGTCAAATTTCTCGAATACGGACCATTTTAGAAAAATTTTGTATATAACAAAAATTATAGATAATAAAATAAGACACACACACACACACACACACACACACACACACACACACACACACACACACACACACACACACACACACACACACACACACACACACACACACACACACACACACACACACACACACACACACACACACACACACACACACACACACACACACACACACACACACACACACACACACACACACACACACACACACACACACACACACACACACACACACACACACACACACACACACACACACACACACACACACACACACACACACACACACACACACACACACACACACACACACACACACACACACACACACACACACACACACACACACACACACACACACACACACACACACACACACACACACACACACACACACACACACACACACACACACACACACACACACACACACACACACACACACACACACACACACACACACACACACACACACACACACACACACACACACACACACACACACACACACACACACACACACACACACACACACACACACACACACACACACACACACACACACACACACACACACACACACACACACACACACACACACACACACACACACACACACACACACACACACACACACACACACACACACACACACACACACACACACACACACACACACACACACACACACACACACACACACACACACACACACACACACACACACACACACACACACACACACACACACACACACACACACACACACACACACACACACACACACACACACACACACACACACACACACACACACACACACACACACACACACACACACACACACACACACACACACACACACACACACACACACACACACACACACACACACACACACACACACACACACACACACACACACACACACACACACACACACACACACACACACACACACACACACACACACACACACACACACACACACACACACACACACACACACACACACACACACACACACACACACACACACACACACACACACACACACACACACACACACACACACACACACACACACACACACACACACACACACACACACACACACACACACACACACACACACACACACACACACACACACACACACACACACACACACACACACACACACACACACACACACACACACACACACACACACACACACACACACACACACACACACACACACACACACACACACACACACACACACACACACACACACACACACACACACACACACACACACACACACACACACACACACACACACACACACACACACACACACACACACACACACACACACACACACACACACACACACACACACACACACACACACACACACACACACACACACACACACACACACACAGACATCATCGCGAAAATAGTCAAAACGGATTCAGGGGACCTCAAAACGTAAAAATCCGTCGAAAACTCGAGGTCGAAAAAAATCATGATTCCTATTTTCCTTATATCTGTATACAGATAGGAAAGTAAAAATGAATCACAACAATAGGCATAAAAATAAATTTTTAAATCAGCAAAAGTTGATATTTTTAATGATTTTTACCTACTAATCGTGTAGGTTTTTGTGCG